CCTGCCCCCCAGACTGCACGCGCCTCGGCGCAGAGGGCTCCCTGCCCTCCAGACAGCACGCGCCTCGGCGCAGAGGACTCCCTGCCTCCCAGCTCCTCCCTGGGCAGATGTGCCTCGGCACATTTATGTTTAATGATAATTTGTGATGCATTGAAAGTAATACATGCAAACATCATTTAGCTACAGTACATAGAAACTGCCCAGAGAATGGGCCTCCCTAGCCTGCAGCGTGTCCAGGGGACTCTAGAGGCACAGAGCATGAGTGTGAAGGCCATGGTGTGATGCCCTGGTCAGAGGCAGTGGCTGGTACTCACTGGCTCAGAGGGTCACTGTACCCAGCCCACCTGAATGCTTTCATACAAACAAATCCTGATTCTCATTTCTTGGGGACTGGGGACAGGTACAGCCATGACACCAAACTATGTTGGTAACTCCAGCACGGAGGTTTCGCTGTGGTGTACCTGTGAGAACAGTGGCAACCAGCAGGAGGAGTGTGACCAGATACGCAGCATGTTCATTAGCAACAAATGCCTCAGTAAGTGCTATACAACAAGCAACTTGGGACACAGATTCAGCATAATTAAGTTCAAACCTCTTGTTGCTTTCCAGGTCCTACATCACACAGCTCCTGCCTACAGCTCCAACCTGCTCTCCTTTGGCATTTCCCTACCCTCTCTATTCCATCACTAGCGTCAGCCTAGATACTCCCTTTCTCTGCTCTTACAGGCATCTCTGAACTTTCTTCCACATTACACCTTATCCCCAGATCTGTTCACAAAGTCATTTCTCTAGCCACATTCAGCCCCTCCCAGAGACTCACTTCTGCAGTCTCACCTATAATAAGTGAGGGGGTAGGAGAGGTTAAGAGAGAAAACCAGCATCACACTATATCCATGGCTTACTGAATAACCACATGATCTCACTGCCATCATCTTGTCCTTCCTCACCTTCCCTTACCTCTGACCCTCATTTGCTGGACAGAGCCTGGGATTCCACGTGTCTCTGTGAGACACTTAGTACAGTCCTGGGTGCTCAAAAAATAAATAGTAATTTGACCCATCACAGCTTGGCATGGACCATATCACTGGGCCAGCAGCTCAGCAATAGCTCTCAAATCCTGCTGGCTGAGATTGGGTAAAACCCAGCTGTGAGTGGTAGCTGTGTCCAGAGCCCCTATTCCCTTTATCCATCTCTGGCATCCCAGCAATGGGCTTTATTAAGATTTAAATATTTTATGACTGTAAAAGCTTCCAAAGGGCATCAAATAAAGAAACCAGCATCACTATATAATTGTTTAATATTAATGTATTTTCTATGTATTGAATTCATGGCCTCATACATGCAAAGCATGCGCTCTACCACTGAGCTATAGCTACTATATAGAGAAATCTCACACCAATAGAACAGCTCAGCCCACTCACACTGCCCACCTCAGACACACCCTAACTCTGATATACCCCCATAGGATGACAGAAAGTAGAGGGGAAAAACCCCATTCAGACCAATCCACTGCACCCCAGATACCATGCGAGATTGGTCCCTGCATCTGTTCTGTAGTACTTTATCCAGCCACACATACACCCCACACAGTAATATGCCACTGCATACAGTATTTACACTCCCCAAAGCAAAATCACCCTTACAAGCCCCAACATGTGAGCTTCCCAACATAGCCTGTCAGGGGAGGGCTATATTCCAAGGTGAGCGAATGAGGAAAGCACCTTCTTAGATGTTTGTTTGACTTCTACCTGCAGAAAATACAATTCAGTCTCAGATGCATCTGAGCCAGGCAACTCTGGAGGGGCAGGAAGGATTGTTTTACATGCCTTCCCTGAGCTTCCAGGGGGACAGCACCAACACTTCTCTTGCTTCAGAAATGTGCCAGGTATGGTTTCCTTTACTACCTTCACAAAGCAGCCAGTAAAGTGGCATAGAGAAAGTAACTAGCATCAGAGAAACAAGCAGCTCTGGGCACCTGAAGGAGGGAGCTGTGCATGTATCAGAGCCTCAGAAAAGTATCCTCTCCCCATCACTATTCTAGTTGCTCTGTCCCATAGGTTAGCAGAGGGGCCAGTGTGTAGGGGCGAGAGCCATGTTACTTGGCATGGTAGGTTCCCAAATCCTCAGTGCTAATCTCAGAATGGGAGATCCTGCAGCCAGGGGCCGGAGTGAACTCGATCCAATTTGAATTAATTTCTCCCTTTCCCTTCCCAGGTCACCAAGACAAAGCCATGGCCAGACATCTCTGAGTACAACAGCATGCCCATGGCCTCCTCTGTGTATGCTGGAGCTGGGGTTTCCTGGCCCCCAATGGCCCTGCTGCTAGCGTTGCTCCTGCTCAGCCCACCTTAACTTGACACAACGGGCATTTGTC